CCAAATTGAAGTGCAGAAGTGTTTCTAAACTTTCGGAGACTTGTTCTTCTCCAGGTTAGTAAATTTTAGATATTTTATGAGTTTTTTTGTTATTAATGTTTTATTAAAATTATAATTTTTTAATTAGTAAAATAAATAGAGATAGTTAAAATTTATGAATATTTAGTAAATATATTGGTGTGAATGTTAAAATGAAAATGTAATTATTTAAATATTGTTAAAAAATATAGAAGTTAGGAGATAGTTAATATTAACTTGTGTAATAAATAAAAATGATGTTATATTTGTTGTAAGAATTTATTTTATATATGTGAAATATGTATATAAACTATTAAATTATTTGTAATATAAAATGATATAAATGTTGTAATATGTTTGTGTATGTTAATAAAAATTTAATAATTTATTATTTATATTAATAAGTATAGTTAAAATTATTTATTGATATTTTTTTTTTATAAATGCAGGATCAGTGAGATTATTATTATTGTATATTGGAATGGAAAAATTGTTGTTGGAAACGAAGGTGTAATATTTGAAGGTAACAAAAAAATGATAAAGATAAGAAGAGGGATAAGTTTTATGAATTTGAAAAAAAAAGATTCATGGCAAGTTGAATCTTAGTAATAATCATTCAATATCTAGAATAATTTCTCGTTTTATGGTTGATTCAAGCGCTAAACAATACACTGCATTGGATATATGTGATGATGAAGACATTGATTATATGATTAGTGCGTATCAACAACAAAGTATTACAACTGTTATTGAATTATATGTGGAGATTGCATTTGGTGAGAGTTCAAGAGGTGAGTCAAATATGTTGAACTTAAGCTTATGAATGTCACTGCCTAACCTTATGGAAATGACGAATATAAATATTACAAAAGGTATAAATTAAATTATAATTTTAATATTTTTTTTAGTGACTACACATATTGAATAAGTGCATGTATTTTGAAGGATGTGCAGAATTATGCAGTTATGAAGATGAAGATGAAGTCAATAGTGCTTATAATGATGATGATGATATTGATGAAAGACATATTCCGTTAGACAGCTCATCAGACACAGATGTAGATGGTGATTTTAATTCAAACTTAAATTTACAACAAGTGTTGGAGGTATTATTTATAGAGTATATTGATTAAATAAATTATTTTTTTATGGATGAATATTTATTGTTTATATATAGTTGTAGGTAAAATACCTTTTTGGAATATAAGTCCACACTACAATTATATTAATTGAGACCACTCAGACCAAGAAATTGAAGCAGAAGAAATTAGTGATGACAATTCATGGGTTATTGGAGATGCGTTACATGTAGGTTTATTATTTGAGTCGAAAGAGGAAGTGAAAAATGTCTTAAAACAACATGCAATGAAAATACATCAAAGTTATTATGTCGTTGAGTCAAAACTAACAAAGTTGTATGTGAGGTGTTTAAACCATAACAATGGTTGTCCTTGGAGAATAAGAGCATCATTACTTAAAAATGCAACAAAGTGGAAAATAACAAGGTGTGGGGGTAAGCATACGTGTCTCAACCTAACAATATCTCAAGATCATACCAAGCTAGATTTAGATTTGATTTGTTAATGCATCATTGGTAACTTTTGCATTAAATCTTATTTCGTGAAGGCTTTTGACAATAAAGGGACTAACCTCTTTTGTTTTTTGTTATGTAGGTATGGTAAATCTTGAACCATCATTGCCTATAAGTTTAATTCAAGAAAGGATGACAAGTCAATTTGGATATAAAATTTCATACAAGAAGGCTTGGAAGGTAAAACAGAAGGCGATTGTAAGAATATTTGGTGACTGGGATGAATCATATGCTACCTTGCCAAGATGGTTAGAGTACATGCAATTTCATGCTCCAGGGTCTGTTTATAAGATTGAAACGAAACCATTTGTTGTTAGGCATCAACAGGATAACAGATTTAGAGTATTTGAGCGATTGTTTTGGTGTTTTCATCAATGTAAGGAAGTATTCAACTATTGCAAACCAATTGTTCAGGTAGATGGAACATTTTTGTATGGTAAGTATTGTCACATATTGTTGATTGCAACGACACAAAATGAGAATAATTGTGTCCTACCAATTGCTTTTGCAATTGTTGAAGGAGAGACTCTGTTAGCGTGGAAATGGTTTTTGGCAATGATTCGTGTGCATGTGATGACAAAGTCTGGTTTATGTTTAATATCTGATAGACATCAAAGCATCAAAAGTGCTGTTGCAAACCCACATATTGGTTGGCAACCTCCCCATGCATACCATGTTTATTGCATTCGTCATATAGCAAGCAATTTCAATCATAGATTCAAGAACATTGATTTGATAAAACAATTGGCGAAATTAGGTATGATGACTTTATTTTTAATTTTGGTGTTCTCTTAGCTTATTATGAACTTTAATTTTGAAGTAATGGTTTAATAATTGTTATTTGCAGCGTATATACCTTCAAAGATTGTATTCGAAGAGAAGTTGAGAAGATTTCGCAATGAATCACCAGAAATAGAGAGGTGGATCGATAACATATCGAAAGATAAATGGGCTTTGAGTCACGACGAAGATGGACGTCGTATGGGCACATGACTACGAATTTGTCAGAGGCTATTAACAAGGTTTTAAAGGGAGCAAGAAACTTACCTATAACTGCTCTGGTAAAATGCATTTACGAACGCTTGGTTGAATATTTTGTGAAGCGTGGAGAGGAAGCCTTAAATGATCTGAATGTTGGTAAGAGGTTTTGTTCAAAATTGTTATACAAAATGCAGAAGAAGCAAGAAGAAGCATCTTCACATCAAGTGAGACGATATGATATAGAAAGAACAAGATTTGAGGTTGAAGAGGCCTTCAATCCTATTACGCAAAGGGGTGGAAACAAGTGGACTGTTGTTCTGTGTAGAAGATACTGTGAATGTGAGAGATTTCAAGCATATCGATTTTCATGTTCACATGTAATTGCTGCTTGTGCATCAGTAAGTATTGAATTTTGGCAATATGTTGATGAAGTTTACTCTGTACAAAATGTGGTAAATGCATATTCATCATAATGGTTCTCCCTAAAAAATGACAGTAATGTGCCCACACATAGTGAGTGGAAGTTAGCTCCTGATGAAATGAGAATCAGAAGCAAAGGAAGACCAAAATCAACTAGAATTAGGAAGAAAATGGATTGGGTTGAGTTACAAAGTAGACAAAGATGTAGTAATTGTCATCAAATTGGTCACAATATGCGTCAATGTACTTCTATATCGCCTAACCAATAGTATAGAGCCCTTGATGTATGAAATCGTATGGTGTATAATGTTATTTATCATCATGGTTTTTCGTGTGTTATTTATCAGTATGGTTATATATCAACATGGTTATATATGAAGTGGAACGGTGAATGCATTTAAACGCAGTAAAATATGTCATAGAAACATTAAAATGATTACATAATATATATGTACAAGTAGTGGTCTCAGTGTTGTCAAGGTCAATCATCGTGTGGCTGGTCGGGTTGATGTGGGGTCAATATGCACTCCCTAGGCCAATCTCTGGCTCCACGATATAGGTTACAACGTACCTCTGCAGGTGAAATATCTAAGGCTGCTTTGAAGTCAGCATTCAAATCAATTCCATGACTATATGGGGTATCATATGAGGTCCCAGTAGCAAAACCTGGATCTGGTGGTGGTGGTGTTAGAGTAGATGGATCATAGGGAGGCGAAGTGATGAATGGTGATGGACATGAGATATAACACTCTGTGGTGATGAATAGTGATGGAGGGGTCTGTGGCAGATGTTGGGTGGCCTGAGATGAGTGAAAATATGTAGGTGGGGTGACATGTTGTGTGTGGAAGGAAAATTACGAAGGAATGTAGAAGACCCCATCAGGTCGCTCAGGTATGGGAGGAAGAGACCATTCGGTTGCTTGAACCTCAGTGCGTCTACGCTGTAATCCCCTGCCTTCCTTACGGTCCCTAGGTTGACCGACATCTATAACTGGATCCTCAGTATTTTCACTATGTATCGGAGGGTCGGATGAAGAAATAGGCTCCATAATGCGATTCAAATCATTCTTCAACACTAGCATAGACTGACACAAGTCTCGCATTTCATCGAAGGTGAAATTATCATGGCCATCAGTTATCAAATAGTGGGCTCTTTCAAGACCATCACCCTACAACACCAATTTTTGTATGGAAAACAATAGCATTACAAATCAACACCACACAACATAATAACAGTGATATAACTGCGTTTGATTACATTTACAAGTAATGATGAGACCACTGCTTCTCTTGTCATCCAACGTCTAGTGTGAGCTATATACCACCGCATATACTCAGAGTTAGAACTGAGCTACCCAATCTCTCCTTCTCTCCCAAATGTCTATGACATCCCTAAGCTTCTCTTGCCAATTCTCTGATGTCTTCTCTCGTAGTGTGAAGTTATGTAGTGCATCTGACTGGAATGGGTCACGAGGTATATGTTGGAATATACCAAATTGACGCATTACTCGATCTGGTTGGTGCCACTCACACACCTGAAAACATATAAAAGGGACTACGACCCTCCACAGTTCCATCCCCTCACAACATATAGGTGGTAACGAATTAATCAATTCAATCGAATATGGTTGCCAAATTATTTGTAAATAAGGATAAAATATTAATGGTAGTTTTCATAAATGATAACAAAATCACAATTTAACTAGACTTTCATATCAAAATAGGAAATAAATTATGACTAAGCATGTCAAATTTATATCTATAATAACATATGTTCTTCCCCCCTTTTCTATTTCTTTGGTTTGCCAACCACCTGCACAAAAAATTAAGCTAATGTTAGTACCAAATTTATGTTAATAAAAGTAATTCAAAATGAGTCTTACTATTACCTGGTAGCATATGGAAGATGAAGTCGTGTGTGTGGGGGTTATCATAAGCTAGAAATGGAAACCTATCTCATGTCCACATGACAAGTAAAGCAGCTAATCCACCTAAACCATGCCGATCAATGTTGGTGGCCATACACAACTCTCTATACAATACTCCCAATACTGCAGACCCCAACTATATTCACCAGTAATATCAAAGTCCTCTAGTAGAGGTAAGTACCTCATTGACACTCTACTACTGGAGTGATCGTTTAATATAAAACCCCTAATTAACCGCAACATGTAAGCCCTAACAAACCGGGTGATCTGTAAAGGATTCTGTGCATGCATCGCAACATGGGTAAAATGTTGGTCTAACCAACTCATCTTTAAGAAGCTACCAACAAAAGCATCACGTGATGGTCTAATCCCGAGACTCTCCTCAACAATATCAGCATAATTACCTCCAATAGGTGCTATCATAGGTCTTCCATCAATCTGTAACCCTAACAACACGAATATATCTTGCAAAGTGATCGTACACTCGCCTTGAGGCAAGTGAAAAGTGTGTGTCTCTAGGCTCCATCTCTCTACTAATGCAATGATCAACGGGAGGTCTAATGGGAATTGATATACGCGAGCAATCCTAGTAAATCTCGCAATCTCCAAATGTGGAAGGATCTCTTGTGGAACACCATCCAAACCAGTTGGAATAAACTGACTCTTCCTAACCTTCAAAATGAGATGTTTCCGACCATCCCAAATATGTTCAGACACGTGAACATTCTGTAAGCACAATAATGAAGGATTCTCTGGTCCTAGATGAATAATCCTATTCTGTCCTAAAGATGAAGTCATCTTCAGGAAAACATGGTCAAAAATTAAAATTTAAACATTAATTATACAACAAAATTAATAACATTGTCTCCTAAATAATATCAATTTCAATTATTCACACTCAATTTAAAAAAAAAATTGTAAATAAAGTTTCTATTTACATATATTTTAACATTTCTCAATTAATTGTATTTTTTTACATTAAATATCTAAATCAAATCTTAGTCCTAAATATATGAATGACCTTTATAAATGAAATTTATTTTTTCCTTCTATTTTACCATAACTAATTATTTTAAGTTTACTAAATATATTTTTTTTCAACTAATGACATAATTTAAGATTACTAACTTTTTTATTTTATTAAAAATTATATTATACTGATAACATTTTTTATAATTTTAGTATCAATCTAAAAATTTTATTTCACTAACTAAAATTATTATTTCATCCTAAATTAAATTATATATTTAAATTTATTTTTGCTAAACATTTTATTTACATAAGTAAATTTTTAATTTCATCATAATTAATTAATAGTCATTATATTATTTATTTTTATATTATTTATAATCTTAAATATTTAATAGTATAATTTGAATATAAATTAATATATAGTCAATTATAATACATTTAATTTTTTACTTTTATAGTTTTTTTAATTATCTATTAATGTTTTTTATTCATAAATTGAGTTATCATTTTACATTTTTTAATATTATTTAATATTAAAAAACGAAATTTTTATTTTCAAATTTATATGTATTCTAAATATCATTTATTATATTATTAATCAACCAATTTTATACAACTATTTTTATTTTTCTATTCTAAATATTATTTAACAATTTAATATAATGTATTTAATTTATTTTTATTTGTTTTTCAATTTACACCTCAAATTACTATAATAATTTTACATATAAAATTTTATTTTTTTTACAAATTAAGATTATTTTTATATTTCTAAAAAATTACTTAATTAAATTAAAATTAATTTTTAATCTAAACTACTTTATCAATATTTGTCTAATCAATCAAATTTGAATTATAAAAAAATTAAATTACTTACAATAAAATAAAACTAACATTCTGCAGATTTTTCCAGCCAACCACAGTTTTTTCGGCGATGGACGACGCCAAAAATGCTGGCAGTTTGTGCAATGACATTTCTCCACTACCTCCAACCTTTCTTCTCTCCTATCGCTGACGGCAAACGTTTGCAGTTTTTCCAAGTTTCTCAGACTTCCACTTCAATAATAGTCCAAACCGGCAATGGAAATGGATGAAATCACAAATTTGTAATGGATTAAGAAAATAACCACTTGCTTACTCAAAAATTACTCAAACAAATGATAATGGCTTCCAGATCAAACCAGAGGTAGAGGGGAAAAGGAGAAGAGGATTCGCGGTAACTGTGAATGCCAAAATTAAATTCAAATCTTTTTATTTATTTTTTTTAAATACGGGGCACATGTCATTATATTGATAATTTTGTCCCACTCTTAAACGAAATAATTAAATAAAAAAAATTAATTTCGTCTAACTTTTATACGAAACTAGTGCTGAGTTGGTAAAAATTTGCACCAAACAAAGAAATTGTTTGAATTTTAGTTTATTTTGATAATTTGTTTTTAAAAATACATTATTTTAATCTTTTAGCCTACAAACTTCTGGAAACTAATAAAATAAACTATTAATTAAATATTTGTTTATAAAAGTTTATGAATATTTTGTAATTTTCATAATTTTTATAACTCGTTTTAACATTTTTTTCAGTTCATTAAAATAAATTATTTTAAACTAATTTTATTAAATTTTATAAATATAAATTATTATTTAAAAATTTATTAAATAAATTCTTAATTAAGTTATATATTGAATTATATCTTCAAAGCGAAATACACATATTTACGTAGAGTGAACTTTTAAATTAATCTTTATATTTTAGCGCTGCTGCATATTTATTATTTACTTATTTAAAACTGTTCATTAATCTCTCTCATATAATTTGTGGTGTATTTAAGTGTCTTACATGTGATTAATAAAAGTTAAAATAACTTCGTCTGAAACTGTTATTAATCTGATCCTTCCACAACCACTTTTTCTCTCAAACACACGCATAGAACCTTTAAATAATAGTGGTGTTAGAGCTATAAACAATATCTAATAATGTCACAAACGCAGAACCTTCAAACCTCAATAATGGTGATGATATTTTTGCAGATCTCAAAAACACAATAGTATTGTAATTTGTTGTTTGGGATGAATTGATTGGTAGGTTACAGTGGCGTTGCTCCGAAGAGAGTGAAAAAGAAAAGAAAAGAAAGAGTTGATTAAGGTTTTGGAGGTGCTAATCACTATGAACATTGTGACTATGAGGCTCCAAAAAGAGAACAAAAATGAGAAGTGTCAACAGAACACATGAACAATGTAAATTTGAGAAAATGTAAGAGAAAATAGAAGAAAAGTGTAAAACAACTTCGTTTTAGCTTCCAACTATCGCAGAAGTTAATGTTTTTTAGGCACTTATTAATAACAATAACTTAAATACATACGACTCTATTTTAGTGTTTGCAAAAATATTTTGCTTTTTTTTAGGATGAAGTATGAAAAATGAAAATCTTCAACATCAAATGTTACTCAAATGAATGTGTGACAATACAATTAGTTAAAATAATTCACCCTCTTTCAAACTAAATCCAAAAATGCACCTTGCTGTGATTGCTTTTTTAGTTAAAATTTATACTAGTATTATTCATAGCAGATAGCAATGTTAATGTTTACCAAGGCAGATTTGAGGAGTCAAACATGGATATCGTTGGAATGGGCAAAATAATTCAACCTAAAAGACAAAAGAAACTAACCGTACACCTTGGATAATTCTATGATTGATCCTCATGCTCCAGCAAAGTGTTCGAGCCATTGATGTGAAGCTTGTGAGGTTTGATGAGGCCATTGCGTAATTGCACATGCCTCTTACGCAGTGCACATTGCAATGCAAATGCTACATGATGAGAATTTTGCAAAGGCGAATAAAGGAGTTGGCATAGTCAATGGTTCTACTTCTAATGGATGACTCGTTCCTGAAGATGCTTTTGTTCAGGCCTTCTATTCTGAAATTGTGGCTAACTGTTCTTTCCTTCTCTTTGGAAGCACTAGCTCCCTGATTATCTAAGACCAACTAAAAAATAAACGAAAAGAAAATTTAAAGAACTGATTATTTTTTTTATTTTTAATTATAAATTTGTCGTTTCTTGTATTTATCTTTCAAAACTTAAAATAAAAATAAAATAAGTATTAAATAAAAGTGAAAACAATTGTGTTCTGTCTCGTTTCAGAAGTTCTAAAATTGTATAAGTATTATTTATTTTGTTAAAATATTATTTCACTTCACAAATTTCACTTCTCAAATTTTGAAGGTTATTTAAAAAAGAGTTAAACGAGGTGTAAAATGTAAAATAAGAGTTGCAAAAAGCAAGCTCCTTATCTTTTTCTGAACTTTTTTTTTTGGGTCCAATCTTTTTCTCAACTTTTAAGTGTCCACGTATGTTGCAATTTGCAAGCTGCATAGCCACAGGCCCGTGAGCCCAGAAAGATTTCTGACCTCAAGTCATGAATTGTCGCTGACCCAAAAAAAAAAACGCAAAGAAGTCGTGAATCGTCAACGTCCACTTTACTCCACTTTTTATTTTGTTAAAAAAAGCAAAGCACACAGATAAAAATATAATGCAAGTAATGAACAGTGTAATGACAAAGAAAGAGACTAAAAGCCACAAACGAGTGTGAAAAATAGGGTTAATTTTTTTTAATCATAAGGTTGATTGATACCTAATGAAAAGATCGTTCTTTCTCTTAAACTAATATTTAAGTTTATAAAAATAAAAAATATAAAAACTTGAGTTACAAAATATCACCAATGCACATGCAAAAGTTTAGTTAAAATTTTAGTAATTTGCGTTTTTTTAGATTTTTTGATAGAAGTAAAGAAGAAAGAAGTAAAATTTAAAGACGTAGTCATTTTTGTTTATTTTACAATTATTTAAAATAAAACAGATAGAAAATATAAATAATAAATTTTATTTTCATTTACTTAAGAATAATAAAATAAAAAAGTAATATAATGTCATTTTTATCCTTAATAAAATGTGTAAAATTAAATGTGCTACTATGAATAATAAAAAAGGAACCTACCATGCTAGATAACAGAGATAAAATTAATAAAATATAAAAAATTGAAAATTTTATTTAGTTGAAGAAAGAAAATTCTTATGTTAATATCATTTTATTTATTATTTACCACGTGTATTAATCAGCAAGAATTGTTTCAATTTTACTGCACATAATATTTATATATCTATCCAATTACCTAAAAAAAATTATTTATTTATTTATCTATCCAACTTTCCTCTTTCCACTTCCTCGTTAAACAAGCGCATAAGGTGAAAGAGTTAAAAGAAGGATGCCACATAGTTAGCATTCGTCGTTGACAAAATCGAAACGGCGTCATACGTCTCTCTCCCATCCCACACACCAACCCTCGCTTCGTTGGTCTTACCTTTGTTTTGTGACCATTTTCAAATCTCAGTATCACACTATCAATTTCTTGTCTTCTCCGCCACGCTTGTCAGTATCTTTTTTTCTCCGCATTTGGTTTTTGTTGTTATTATCTTCATTTGGAAATTTATCTTATACTGTCATGGTTGAATCGTTTTATATTTGATGATCCTTATTCACGGTGTGGAAATATCAATAGGGATTTTATTTTAATATACGCACTTAATTTCTCCAATTTGTTGTTAATTTAATCGCATTATCAGGATGATGGCTGCTACATTTAATCACCAGCCTACGGGACTTCATGGTTGGGGCATTGATGTCTCAGCGTCTCGATCTTCTAAAAAATTCGGGAGGTTCCTTTCAATGCGTTTCGCCTACAATGCTCATAAACTGAATCTCATTCAAGCATCTATTTCTCATGCTTCTGCTGTTGATCCTACATCACTATCCATTTCTCATGATTCATCAAGTTAGAAATTGTTTTTCTAGATAATTCTTAATATTCACAATTATAGACATGTTTGGTATTCCCTAAGTGGTAAAATTTGTGTACAAGAGAGAGTAACTAACTAGTAACTCGACAAACTAATTTAACTAATGCTAACATTGCCACATATATGTGATTTTACACGATTGTAAAGTGTGTTTTGATTACTGAATAAACCCAATGGCCTTGGTGTTCTGCTTTTTCTTAGTGGGTATTGTGAACTTGTTTTTATAGCTGAGAGTACTTTGATATTGATTCGTCATGGGGAGTCTTTGTGGAATGAGAAGAACTTGTTCACTGGATGTTGCGACGTGCCTTTGACCAAGCGAGGTGTGGAGGAAGCAATTGAAGCGGGTAAGAGGATTAGCTATATACCAGTTGATATGATTTTTACGTCAGCACTGATTCGGGCACAGATGACAGCTATGCTTGCAATGACTCAACATCACCAGAAGAAGGTAGTGATGCCATTTATAATGAGATTGCAAGTTACTTGCTTCACGAAGATTCTATATCTAGGAAAACGCAACATCAGAATAGATTTAGTGGTTTTTTAAGTTAACTTCAAACTTGCCAGTTAATGCTGATACCCAAATGGCCATATGTTTTTCACTCATGCAATTGGTATAGCAATTGCTCTTATGGGAGAAGGCCTTTTTTGTTAAACATGCATCTTCATTTATATTAGTATGGTGGCTTTAGTCATCTGGTGCTTTCATTTGCCTTTCCTCCATTTTTCCGCTAATTGAAGTATAGGAGAAAAACAGACTTAATTGTGTTTTATGCTCTATAGGTTCCTATTATCATACATAATGAGAGTGAAGAGGCAACAACTTGGACTCAAGTTTACAGTGAAAAAACCACCAAGCAATCCATTCCAGTTATAACTTCTTGGCAGTTGAATGAACGGATGTATGCATATATTAATCTTTGCCCCTGTTTCCTGTTCATAGGTTATGTTCAATTAATCTTAGAAGGATAGAATTATCCTTCTTTATTTAATTCTTCAGGTATGGGGAGTTACAAGGTCTTAATAAGCAGGAGACTGCAGAGAGATATGGGAAGGAGAAAGTGCATGAGTGGCGTCGAAGTTATGATATTCCTCCTCCCAAGGGTGAGAGTCTGGAAATGTGTTCACAGAGAGCTGTTGCCTATTTTAAAGATTTTGTAAGGATGTTAATTTTCTTATTCCTTTTTATATTGGATTTGTTTGACATTGATATCTTGCTGGGAATTGAAATAAATTAAAATGCTAAGAGAGTTGATACTGATAATCGTGTGTTGTAGATTGAACCCCAACTAAAATCAGGAAAACACGTGATGGTTGCTGCTCATGGGAACTCATTGAGGTCTATTATAATGTATCTTGACAGATTAACCTCTCAAGAGGTAGAATCCTGCAATGCTTATGAGTGCCATAATCTCATTTACATAAAGTTTTCTATTGGTATTAAACAAATAGGACTGAAATTGATCTTTACTTCTCTGATGACAAACAGGTCACTAATTTAGAATTATCAACTGGGATACCGTTGCTTTACATATATAAAGGGGGGAAATTTTCTAGTAGAGGAAGTCCTGTAGGACCTACAGAAGCTGGTGTTTATGCATATAGTCAGGTATGATACCTGGTATTTACCTGGTGTAATTGGTGAGCTGAAATTAACATTAAATGCTTCTCAAATTAATGAAGGAGAAATCTCATGTGAGGGTTGTGCTGTTGGGGGGTATTTAGGAACATGAAGTAATCATTGCCCATATTTATAATCTGCACTGATTGCTAATTGCTCAGATTTTGTAATTTTATTATTGTTCCAGTGTTTTCTCACTTATAGAATAAGTTCTATGCTAATGCAAATCATCTGCCAATAAGCTTATAGCTAAGCTGCCATTAGCCAAGTCTTTAAGATTTGGATGTTATATGATGACATCAACTTCGATCCTCCACTAGGCGTCCCATCTCCCTTCACTACTAGGTGCTTGCACCACCGATGTTTTATATATGGAATCATATGAAAATCTGTATATCATAAGTCTAAAGTCATTCCATTTTATTGTTGTTTTTCATTTGAAAACTGGGAATCATCTCCATTTAATTAAAATAAGCAGTTTTTAGTCCAAGTCATAAATCAATTTCACAACAAATCGGAATGGATCCAGAAAATGTGCATGCATGACAGAGCCACTAGTGACCAAATTTGACATGCATAATTGTAATTAGTGGATGACAAGACTACATATTTTTTTAAAATATATAAAAAACTGCTGTCTGAATATATAATTTAAAAACAAAGACCTTTTGCTCTCCCTCTCTCAATCCATTCCTAACTCCAAGGTTTCTCTTTTTAATGATGGTTTTTAAAAGGGAGCTTGAAACTTTAGAAGATAATTTTAATTAAATAATTAAACGTCCACATATGTAAAAGAATAAGTTTTTCCATTATCAGCAAGCCCATAAATAAATTGGTGAATGGTTATTTTAGCTTAATTAGAGGTCTTGGATGCTCAATGCGGTGTTTAGTTAATGGTGGTATTTTTGTGTAAACTCTTAAAAATTACTCATCAGGATTGTATAGATAAGGTATTTTAATCATTAATATTCACCCTTTCAAATAGTTCTTAGCTTGCAAGCAAAAAATTTTTCATTTTGGTCTTTCTCACTGTCGTTTTGCACAAATAAAATAAATGTCATTTTGTAAAGTTAAGGACTAAGCTTGGGTTTTCAAAATTTTCTAGACTAAATTGTTTGGTTTATACAGTATGAAGGACTAATTTAGAAGCTCAGTAAAAAAGACTTTTCCATTACTGTAGGCAATATAATGTACTGCGGTGCCTCTTAAATTTTGTTGCTTCTGTTTGTGTTAAATTTTAAAATATTTCAATTTGCTCAGATTTTCCCTGGATGTCCCTTGGGATGAGATATATATCCATGGACCTAGTTGTTGAGTCTAACAAAGATTATAGCATAATTGAAAATTGTGAAATCTGTTTCCTTCGAAGTTAAGTATGATATTTTTTATTTGTGTTTGGTTTTTATCTGAGTAACAGCTAATGGTAGTCTGGTTTGGGGTTCAGAGGATGTAGGGGAGATACTATCATTTTATTTTTTTTTCAGATTGTTATCTATTATTTGCTTGATACTAATCTGATTGTGTCTTTATTATTTGCTGCGCTCATGTTGTTGAACCTATCTGATCATACCGATGTTGTCTGCTGCCATTTGTATCTGCAGAGTTTAGCTGCTTACAGACAACAGTTGGATGAAATGTCACATTGAAGTAATTGATCCTTCATGTAAAAGATGAAAATGGTATGCTCCAATACTCTGATGATTAATATTTTCTATGCCCATATTAGTCGATCTATCGAATCCCCCAATAAGATATCTGATGTCGTCTATACACGACTGAATCTATGCGTGATTGATAACTTAATGTTGTCACTGAGTATGCTCGTATATATCTGCAGGTATAATTATCGATATTCATTTCTTGGTGGATGGCTTCATATTTTTCTTTCTGGTTATGGCCATTCTACAGGATAAATTTTTTCTTCTCGCATGCCTGACGATCCTTAGAAAATTATTGGAAGAATTTTATCAATTTTCGAGTCTGGAATGGCAAAACGTGAGAGCCCTGAAAATTTTCTGCTCGGTAACAACACAAGTAGCCCCAGAACAATTTTTGTTAGAGAGATAGTAAAAAACAAAATTTGGTAATGTAAGTCTAGAACTTGATTGTGTCTGAATGGATGTGAACTTGTAGGTATAGCTGCCATCTTTTAGAACAGAGAATTAAATTTATGGTTAGGGAATGAACAATATAAACGAATTGAAGTATTTACCGGACCCTTATGTTCTATCATCTTTAATTTGTCAAACGATTGTCCATTTATTGCCTCTTATCATGATGTGTACAAATTATGGAAGGAGAAAATATTTGGAGAAGAATATAACAATGATTCAAACACCGGACGGCCATGATGGTTTTTTCAATCCCAAAAAATAAAATAAAATTGAGAATCGGTGATGGAGAACTGATTTGAGTCGTTTTTTCTTTTTAATTTCATGTATGATCGAAATGTATTTTATTCAAATAAAGGTTTAATGTCAATTTATAAAAATTCATATATAGAATATTATTATTCAATGTTTTTTAAAATCTTCGCTGGCAATGAAATAGAAATGTTGATAATATATATGTGATGTTTTCATTATATGTTATAATTAACTGAAATCCTCCATGTCTTTCCCTAAATAATCAAGACAGACTTTTAGTAATGGATTCGACGTGAAATTTTATTCAACCAAAAAAAAAAAAAAAACCCTAAAAAGATAGTAAAAGATCACGTGGGAAAAGTTGAATAGTTCTATTTTTTTTAAAATAGATATACTTGAATCGTGGGACACCAAAATTTTTTGCCCCATAATAATAGGCAAAAATTTTGAAGTTCAATGTTATAGTCGCCTGCCAGGGTAATTAGCTTGATGTCAAATTACAGAATACATTATTAACTTTGTGTCCCGATATTTAATTTTTACACATTATCTTGTATGGAAGTTGGGTCCAAATAAGTTAGGACATCACGCAACTTATAATAAATAAAAAGTTATATCTAATTTTTGAAATTTAAAGGAAATACAATAAAGATGAATATATTTTTACCTAAAATATATTAAATTATCACATAAGTAAAGATTTAATATCAACATTGTTACTTAACATGTATTAAATATTATATATAATAACTATCTATTGTAAATAATAATCATCAAGAACTGTATCATTTATATTATAATAATAAAAACAAAAACATTCACTTTTGCAATGTATTTCGTGAAACTTGAGAAATTGAAAATTTAACAAATAGGTATTTTTTCAGGTAATAGTGCTAACTGTCCAAGCACTTCAAAATGTTATTTGCCATTTCCATGTCCTAGATTCAAGGGGAACAAAAAAAATATAACATGAAGTGTATATATAGAAAAAAAGGAAAAGAAATTATATTTTGAAAGAAAGTGTTCATTATTGTTGTTTCTATTCCTAACGGGTAATTATTTTCTGTTTTTCCATTGAGTGTTGCCAAACTGCCCAACAAAGATGTACAGCTTAGGGATGATGTTATGGGTACCCTGTGCTGCTACTACATCCTATAGCTACGTGTGCATTTTTTGGTTTATTTTGTGAACTGTTACTTAACGGTTTTATACCTCTTTTTGGCCCCCCATCACCCTCAACCTTAAGTGCTCCGAAAGCTCTGCCGCCAAAATCTCACCTTTCAAACCGGAAAAAAAGGCAACATAGAAAGACATGATTGATCGCATCCAATTATCAATGCAAAATTCAATCCAAAAGACAAAAAGTGAACAATAGATAAATAAATTGTGCAAACTTGTTGACAATCACAGCCTATGTACCCATTGTTGTTTTGTCAATGTGGGACTAGAGGATGTGATGAACCGAAGAAGATAAATGAATGAGAATGAATAAATAAATAAATGAATGAATGTCTTCGTTTACGGGTGCACGTTCCAAATCGAGTGCTTACTCTGAAATGACCAGAGCTAATGACATTACCCTCAGCCCCGTCAATCCAAGCCTTACATCAAACTCTTCTGACATTAATGTCAAAAATGAGAAGAAAAAGAAGGTGTTTTTTCCTCTCTCTTTTTTCTTGTTTTTTTCCCCTTCCCTGCATAGCAATTTTCTTGTGTTTAATGACACATTCTTCTTGACCCTCTTTTTTCTTTGGGATCAAGTCTATCCTTCCAAAGATTTTTGGATCAAAGAGAAGTGGAAGAGGCTCAGATGAAGATGCGCTAAGATCAAGCGCAGAAGAAGGAGATGGAGTTGCTCTTGGTATTCATTGCGTGACTGTTTTCTTTCTTTCTTTCTCTAGAATATCTGCATTTTCATGTTGTCAAGGTTGCCCTTTAATTTTATTTTCAATAAATGTGAACAGATTTGGAGAAGAAGATTGAATCAAGAAGAAAAGCATTCATCGAAGCATCCCCCATCATGAGAAAAAGTTTCTCAGGTACTACTAATGTATGCCTTAAGTTGTGTCACAAACACATTTTTCACATTCTTTGAAAATTTAATTATTATTATTATTATTATTGCTTAATCACAATTTTTTTACGATATTATAATGCTAATATCAATATATCCAAATTTGCGGCTTTGAAAAAAATGATGGGTCAACTCTAGATTCTGGATCTAACTAGTACAGATCTACGTATCTATCAAACAAGATGAAATCTTCCCCTTGTCATCCTGTATTATTTTGGTAGCTTACCTAACAACAATGAAATTTGGTAATTAGTAAGATGATTTCTAATCAAGGGGAGGAGCGTGATGAAGGCTATGGATTTTTCTTGTTTGATGTTGACCTTAACTCAAACTCTCCTTGTCTCATCTTAATACATTATATACCCACTACAATTATAGATTTGTCATGACATGACAACATGATAAAGTAAACCATGATTTTAATTTCTTATCTACACGCAGAAAGGGAGACTAGTCCTGGTATCGAAGGCTTAAATTTGTCCAGTTTTGAAAAGCCTATGGCTCAGGAAACTGAAATGCAGAGTTTCAGGTAGGGGATTTCATTTTCAGTTCAAGGCTGAATTCAAGCACTCTCTTTTTTGATTGCATATGGTGGTGAGACTCACATGCTACATCCTTCTTCATGCTATGCCTTATCATTCCTTGGATTGCAGGATCTTTGTTGCAACGTGGAATGTTGGAGGAAAGTCACCAAACTATGACCTCAACCTTCAAGATTTCTTGCTAGTGGAGGGCTCCGCAGATATATATGTCTTGGGGTATGAAAAGACTGCAGCATTTCAGCATACTTTATAAGAGTTCAGATAGTTGTTGCAACAAGGAACATCTTGAGCTTTAGAGTTTAAATATATGATTATGGTTACGAAACTACCAGGCTATTAAGAAGTAAATCCAGACCAGACCAGACCAAGAAGTGATGCAAAGATGTTGTTCTGATGATAGCAAAGGAGATTATAAAAAAAAAATGTTGAACTTGAAAATTCATGATGCTCTATATACATGCTTCGCTATATCTTTCCATTGTTTTTTTTTTTCAGATTATTACAAGGGTCTTGTTATCCAATGTCCTTGATTACATCGGTTACGAAATAAATAATATAGTGCTTTTATTAGAAATCATACTGTAAACATTAGAAATCATGAGGGCACATTAATAATACTTTTTTAACCAAAAAATAAAAATCACTTTATTTTTTGCTTAACCATTTGCTTGTTACAGGTTCGTGTTAGCTGAAATACTTGAATCTTCAGTTTTCAGGAAATTGTTCCTCTGAGTGCTGGGAATGTTTTAGTAATTGAAGACAACGAACCAGCCGCAAAGTGGTTGGCATTGATAAGTGAAGCACTAAACCGACCAAGAAATGAGTACAGTGATTCCTCTGACTCAGGAACTGGCTCCAAAACCCATAGCAGCTCCAAGGAGTCAAAGACTCCAGCAAGTTTGAACTTCTTTCAGAAGCCTTCTCTTAAAGTTATCAGTAGGAATTTCAGGGCAGAGGGTAGCAGTCTCCTTAAGGCTTGCAATTGTCCTGTGGAATCTCCAACCCGAGAGAGACGAAGGATAAGAAAGTTTAGTGACCCTATGAATAAGTTAGATTCTGAGATTCGTGGTGATAACAACGTGGAAGAGTTGCTTTCAATTGCAGAAATACCATCTTCTCCAAGCCAATCCAAATACACCCTTATATCAAGTAAGCAGATGGTTGGGATTTTTCTCACTATTTGGACTAAGAAAGAGTTATTGCCCCACATCGGACATCTTAGAGTAGATTCTGTGGGGAGAGGAATCATGGGTTGCTTAGGTAACAAGGTAAGTAAAAAAATATGATATTCAATTTTATTAAACATCAATCTTTAAAATTGACTTCAAAAGTTACTAAAAATAGGTGGTTTCTTTTTTAAAACGTTTTCAACGGTTTGTTTTTTCAAAAGAATAAATATTTCCTATGATTTAATAAAACACTTTACATACTTACCCACTAATTGTTTATCATGAAGCTATGGTTTTTCGTTTTTGGGGGCATGAATTAAAGAGACTAATGATACATATGGAATCATAATTGATTGCAGGGGTGTATATCAATGAGCATGTCATTACATCAAACAAGTTTTTGTTTCGTCTGTAGTCACTTGGCTTCTGGGGAGAAAGAAGGAGATGAGCTGAAGAGGAATGCTGATGTAGCTGAGATCCTCAAAGCCACACAATTTCCAAGGATTTGCAAGAATCCTTGCCGTCGAGCGCCAGAAAAGATAGTTGACCATGAGTAAGTTATTATGTCATGCATGTATTTGACTAATTATGAGTTAATTTGCCTTTTGAACTCTTCTGAATTCTCATCACTTCTTGCCTGTTCTACAGTCGAATAATTTGGCTGGGAGATTTGAATTATCGGGTGGCTTTGAGTTACGAAGAAACAAGACTTCTGTTGGAGGATAACGACTGGGACACTTTATTAGAGAAAGATCAAGTGTGTCCCTCCCTTCATATACTACTAATAAAACAGTTCAATCCCATTGCACTAATATATATATATATATATATATATATATATATATACACTCAGAAATAAAAAATTTTAAGTTCACTTTCATGGACATAATTTTTTAATAAAAATCGAATATTAATATAAATAACGACAGCAGTCTATGTTAATGATGTAATATATAATACTCTTTTGTTATATATTATTGATATAGACAATTGATATATATCATCAATATTTTATGTCGTTAATATGATATAATATACAATTAATGTCATTAAATAAAGTTTACATCAATGAAGACATTTGATAATATATGTATTTCTTTTTAGTTATAATGCAACGTACTTTTATTGTGACATAGGTAATTTACTAAATTGTTTTTCAATGTATACAGTTGAACATGGAAAGAGACGCAGGGAGGGTTTTTAGTGGTTTCAAGGAGGGAAGGATTTTATTTGCCCCCACATATAAGTATTCACATAATTCAGACTCTTATGCTGGTGAGACTGTAAAGTCAAAGAAGAAACGCCGAACACCCGCATGGTATTGCACGCCTTTTGACTCTCACTAACAATATATGATATGATCAAGTAATTGAAAATTGCTAGCTGGGTGGCTTTTCAATACAGATAAACCAAAACCGTTGACAATAATAACTCTTTGCATGAATTTTAGGTGTGATAGGATATTGTGGCGTGGCAACGGCATTGAACAATTATCATACATTCGTGGTGAATCAAGATTTTCTGATCACAGACCTGTTTGTGCTGTCTTCTCTGTGGATGCGGAAGTAAGAAGCAGAAACAACAGGTTCAGGAAGGGCTATTCCTACACAAGCCCAAGACTTGAATATGAAGACTTCATCCCTCAAAGGCATAGTTTTTATGATTATTAATTCAAACCTCAAATCAACCTTGTATATTTCCTTAGGGTCTATAGAAGCATGATTTGTCACCTCTCTTTATTTCCTTCCTATTTTGTCCCCGCACTCACCAAGGTGTCCCATAGCTAGTTATTAGAATCCTAACATTGTAAGATCAAAAGATTTATACAAGTGGCTAAGGAGTGACCGCGATCTTTGTTATTACGTAGAGATCCATGTAAATAGAGTTGAAATATTCATTGAGAGAGCCAAACATGAAATTAAGAAGAAAAACTCAATAGTATTTGTACAAGCCAAAGATTCTCTCGAGTCTTGAGTTACATCAGGAGACAGTGCCTTATTAATTAATATTCGAATCATTAATGTCTACTTAATTACTACAAACATAAATATGGAGTACTACATTATAAAAGCACGAGGCGAGGAACTTATTTGTATGTCAAGTCCCAAATAGAGGTTTCTTCTTGGCCTTGTGGGATCTCTTGCACTGGATTTTGATTCAAGCCCATGCTATCTCTTGCCATCTCCAATGCCGCTTGCAATTCAAGATGGTCAATGCCATTTATCCATAAGCTTTCATAATCTTCTGCTGTCCTACCCGCAATCTCTCTTAACCGATCATTCAGATGCACAACAAGGTCATTCTCATTCTGATTATTAGCTCTTGCTACCCCCATGCTCATCCAATCATCTACACTTGGCATTTGTGTGTCATTGGACAGATAATCGTGGATCAGATCAAGGTTTTGTTCTGTGCGGTAAGCACAGAGGGATTCATGGTTCATTCTTGAGTTTTTGTCCGGGAATCCCATACACAATTCACTTTGTGGACACTGGGCATATTGGCAACCATAAAGCTTATCAACAGCAGCATCTAAATCAAACACACTCTTCCGTTTCTCACTGCTGCCAAATAAATAAGAGTCATAATCATTCAACTCAGCCACATGTCTCCTTTCATGGGTAGTAGAACTTTCACATTCGTTTTCATCTTCCTTTGATGGAGATATCTTGAGGCACTTGTTAGTCAATTGCAGCAAAGCTGCTTCTTGGTTCATAACCTTTGACCAAGTTTCTGTGTCCTTGGCTGTCATCTTATCTTGCAAAGTCTTGGACTGAGTCACCAACCTTCTCAGTTTATCGAAATCAGGAGACATGTGTTTGATGACTGCAGCCAAAACAGAAACTTTCCAAGCCTTTTTTAGGTCATGGGGTTTCTTATAAGGAGGTGGGCCATGTTCATGGGCCAGAAGGCCTTGTTCACCCCACCAATTTTCTGATCCAGTGGGCCACCAAGGTGGAGCCAAGCCTCTTTCAAGAGGGAACCTTCTTTGGGGAGGTATACAATGTTGCATGAGAGCAGAAAGGAGAGAACTCAAAGTAGTGTCTTGCAAATCATTAAGGAGATGTATATAGGAAGTTGGATCCAACTCATTTGTCCCAAGGAGTGGCATGTATTTTGCAATGGCACTTGGAGCGTTTTGATCGAATTTGACTTTTTCTTTCCACCACTCACGCAAGCTGTCAGAAGAACCTGCCATTGGCTTACCCTTTTCTGGCACAATCCCGTACACAAACCCTTGAGCGTTGCAAATTTCCATAATCTTTACCATATACTTTAGGATTGAATCTTGTGCTCTTGACATCTTCTTACGCCTTGTTGCTTCTTGTTTTGCTTCTTGGTCTGGCTCTTCTTTGTGGCGTTTTTCCTTTAGCTTCTGCAGCAGGATACGATCCTTCCACATTCGCTTCTTCAGCTCGTCATAGCCAATTTCCTCCTCTTCATTCTCTTCATCTTTTTCTTCATCAAAGGGGTTGATTTCTTCGTGAATCTCCACCATGATTCCTGTGGATTATTCCTTGCTTCTGTAAATGTTGGTATGACGAAAAAGGTGTTTTTAGTCGTGCTTGAACAAAAACAATTGATAAGAATATAAGATTTGCTTGAATATTGATAAAATGTGTGCTTATATACCCGTGCATGAAGCTACTAGAATGGCGGTGGTAGAAGGGTAAGGTTTATTCGGCAAATTAAGCTTAGGAAATTCAACCAATAAATACGTTAAAGGATGAGGACAAGTAGGCAGTACCGAAGGTAGTGAGTGTTGCAGTGTGGACAATTACCTGAGGAAATGGTGTTGTGAGTCTCACGTGTTGAACACGTGAGCCGATTTGGATAGGTAATATTAATGGATATATTGAATGCAACCTTTTATGTCAAAATTGATTCTCTCACACCCAAGAAAAAAAATATATTTGAAGAAAATGTAAGAGAGATGGATGTGAGAAAATTGAAGTTATTATTTTGATATATGTAACTCTGATATGTATGTAAGTGACGTTGTCATGATTAGCATATACGTAATTGCATGGGAAATTTGCATGCTGTTGACGGGTTGGTGGCCATGGGAAAGGAAAGGAGATGGTAATAATAATCAAATGGATCATCAATCTACTGTGAGCTGGGGACATTAGAGGTCTGATTCGTGTCCAATATGATATGAGCTGTTTTTAACCGAAGGCCTTTGTGAGACCTGCATCTGTATTCTGAATGATGTAATCACCCACGTATTGTTATCGCTTATGACGTTAACTTGACTATGGCTCTTAGATTTGGCGAGGGGACATGATTTAATTGGAGAGGGAGAGGAAAAGACGATTATGTAAGAACCCTCACATAAATAATGATGCAAAAAAATCATTTTCTTTTCGCTATTGATATGCTCTTTTGACCACATTAATTTCTATACCGTGTTTGGTTACAATCTTTTGGGACCCAATGAGTTAAAAAAACACGGTTATCAGAAGAAAGTTCTTCATGCTCTCCAACTCTTATACATGACATTATATATTATTATTCATAATTGTTTATATTTTTATATACAAGTTTCAGAAATGCATAACATTAATAAAGATTCTTTAAATGTCTCATTTAAGTTAAAACAAACCGATACCCTTTTGGCTTTAGCCTAAACAATCATGTTAATGACAAATCAAGGGACTTGGAGACTGGAGTTGGACTCTCATCGTCTGGCTGCGCAATGTTCAGCAAGAGAAAGAAAGACACCTAAAATAGACGAAATTAAGTTTTGATAACTTCGTTCACTTTTGAAGTGTATTTTTAGAAAATATTGTTATTTATTAATATAAATTTATTGGTACAAAAATGCGACAAACACAGTTTAAACTTATTATCTCAAAGTATAATCGTGCATCAGTGATAGAAAAATAAATTAAAGTTATCAGCATACTTGACACAAATGTATTCGTGTTTTTTGTCTAGTAAAAAATATTTTTAAAACGTATTTATATGAAAAAGATAAAAAAATAATTATAAAATAAAAAATTACATGCAATATCAGATATGATATAGCGAATTTTGTCAAATATAATTAATAACTAGCATTTATATGTATCAAATTTATCAAGTATATTGGAATGAATTATAGTACTTGTTGATTTTTTTTTATAAGACTTTTTTTAATTGAATTGCACAAACTAATAAAAATAGTTTAAAATGATTTTTTTTTTTTAAATATATACTATTGTGTCAATTTTAAATTCTTATTAATATTATTAAATTTAATCTCACTATTGATATTTTAATTTTAATATTTAAACTTTTTCTTTACCGATTTAAATTTATAGTCATGACTAATTTCATTTGTTAAGGAAGAAAAAATAAAACACTTTATAAGAATCGTAAATATTTTACAGTAAAAATCACCAAAATTTTTAGATAGTATCTTATAGAAGAAGAATTTAAAAGAATGTAATTATTAATGTGTCTCTCAAAGACCAAGTTTGAATCGAGTGAATATTTGAACTAAACCAGTTAATGAATGAAAAGAAATTAAGTGCAGTGACTAGTTTTCTTCGATCTTTATGCACGTATAAATATGGTCGGTCTTCAATGTTTCGTCAATTATTAATCAAGATTTAGGCAAGTGGGCTAATTGTCAGATAATTATGAACTAATTTGAGTAAATTTCATAACAAATGTTCATGAAAAAATGAAATAAACCAAGTTTTAACATAAACTAAAATTAAATTGGATATCACAGATTTTTTAAAAACCTCTTCATCTAATTTATTCATAAATATCTATGAGCTCGTAAAGTATTTTTTAAAAAACACTAAGAATCAAATCCATTCAATTTAAATGCTTCGATAAGTTAAAAAGTTAATTTAAACTGAGCCATTTCTATTTTGCTATGCTGGTAGGGTTTAATAAGGGATGATAAATTTTGAGGCAGTTATTGAACTGAAGCCGTGTTCATAAGGTCGTCTTCTTCTTTCAGCTCAACTGGTCTTATGGTCATTTGACCCCGTAATTAGTTCGGGAACATGCTTGTAGCATATAATCGAGTTGGGCCACGTTTCCCATTAATTGATAATGTTTTTTGAGGTTATATAGCAATTGGGCTATCTGATTGACCTAAAATAAAAGAGTGGTTGGGCTAACCTAGTACAAAGCCAGTATTGTAAAAAGAAGTATTTGAAAGGTGCAATTGAACAAAATAAAAAAAACCCTTGAGGAAGATGATGAAAATGAATAAGATTCTTTCGAAATAAATTTGTTTCTTGGGCGAGTAAAATAATTTTATTTTATTTAAAGTATATTGTGTCCTAATATATATTAATATAATACACTTTTCTTACTAAATTCAAAGAAAAACTGAATCTGATTAACTAAAAAGAACAATAATGGTGCTTTTGTAATAAATATTAATATTCAGTATTCTATAATTATGCTAGTATACAGAAAACAACTACACCCGTAAAGTCTTGCGAATAAGAACAATGGCGTATCTCGCTAATAACTTGTATATTCACTGATCATTTTTTCAGCCACACATTCTTCATTCATATGAATTTTGAGATTTTAAGAATGATTTGATATACAGTGTCTATTATGATTAAGGGTCCATTCATATAGGCTTTTAAAATGTAGTAATAGAGATTTTATGAAAATTAAGTTATATTTTATTTGTTTTATAATCATAGAAACATAATTTACTTTTTAAAAAGTAACTTTAAATCAATTGTCAAAATAATTAGAAATTTGTTTTTTTAATCCAAATGAATATAACTTAAACAAACATACTATTTATTTGTTTATTTATGAAGAGGGGGAAAAAGGGGCTATGAAAAGTTGATGGATTGGTGGTAGTACTTTTCCAGCTAGATAAAGATGCACGAGAGGAGAGGATCCTTCAACGATATGAAAAGAATAACAACAGAATTGAGATGACAGTAAAATAAGGGCTTCATCAAAGTCATTTTCTCTTTGCTATGCATTTTACACTTTTTTCTTTTGGATAAAAGAACTATGACTGCTCATCAGAAATTATTGAGTTTATTGAACAGCTCCATCTTTTGAACAGTGGTTTATTCTTTTTCTTCGTTACATGTTATCTAATTTTCAAGGTTATAAAAGTAAGGTTTGAATATAAAACCACCTAAAAATAAGACTTTCAATTTCGAAAAGGGACAATGTTGGAAATGCTGTTAACAATTTAACGAGTTTTAATCTTTGAACATTTTTTCCAGATATTATTTTAACATAAACATATGAATACGAAGGAATGAGATTTGTGCCATTGAAATTGAAACTGCAAAAGATTCTATTGTGCAATCTCAGATGTTCTTGCTGACAGTGTTGTAGTTCGAGTCGCCAGACAAACCAATAATTCAAGTCAATCCACTAAATGAAAAATAAGTTGAACTATGAGTCTAACAATTTTATAAAATCAAAACTATATATACTCTAGGTAAAAAATTTCTACAAGTTTTTATAAAATGTAAAGCAAAAGCTTCAAACTAGATAATTAGTAGTATAAACTCGAAAGTGTTCTGTGCATTGTGTACATGTTTTAAATTTTATAAATTTTTAAAGAATATAAAATAAAAAATAAGAGAATTTGTAAGGTAAATTATCAAAATAAAGTTAAATTAAAATTAAGTATATTTGATAGATGTGGTTAAATAAAAATATACATGCGTTTGTTATATTTAAAATATGAAAGACACTTATTAAAATTAATATTATTATATCATATGTAATATTTTATTAGTTTTAATAAACAATTTGTTTATAAAAGGATCAGAAGAGTGAGTCAATAAACAATTGTATTTTCTGGAAATGCAAATAAACTTGGTAATTGTTTTTTTTTATCGTTTTGTTTGATATGATCAGTATCTTAATAATTACAATAAAAAATAACAATTATGTTGTAGATTAGAAAAATATTATTTTAAAAAAACACATAAAAAATGAGAATCCTGAGTTTCCAGAAAGCGAAGCGGGTTTTAAGGAGCCGTTGGCGAGCCTCGGGAAATTCCAACGCATTTCTGCCTTCTGACAAACCATCCTTTTTATCCCGCTAACAACTCTTCGTTGCTATATTTTATATTTAAAAGTAGTAAATAAATAAATATTTGTAATTTAAAATTTATCATATAAAATGTTTTTTAAAATTTTTACATAAAATAAATAAATATTCCATCTCAATATAAGTAAATACAATTTAACGTTATGAGAAACTTAGCGCATTTGAAAATCTATTTATATAAAATAAACCATTCAATAATCAAAGATAAATGTTATGTTACTAATTTGTATATCTTTCCGTATAGAAAATTACATAGAATAAAATAATAAAAATATCGTATTGAAATATATTTAAATAAATAATTTAATTAAACGCTTATTAAATGCATTTAGTAACAATTTTATAGGCATATATAAAAACTTATACCTTTTTAATTTAATCAATAAATTAGTAATGAAAAATTAGAAAACATCAATTTTAAATTATCTTTCAAAAGTCCACTTTAAATGAATTTTTATTTCATTTATAAATACAATAATTGACTTATCGTCTTATTTTTTATAATAATTTGTACTCATAATAATTACAACTCTAACAAAAATCATCTTTCATTCTTTCATTGCATTAGAAAATACTGTTATACAACATTTTTTTCATGTACCATTTTTTCTTTTATTTTTTCCTTGTATCATTTTAACAATTTTAATATATTTTAAAAAGTTATACAGTTATTTTTATTGAATAATTATAATTCAATCAATTAATCATATAATTATAAAATTTCAGTTCAGTTCATAGCTATAAGCAACGATCTCATAATTTTTTAGTTTTCTTAATAAAAATTCATACACTTTTATCACACGAAAGTTTAGACTAATTTATTTAAATAAATTTAATATATTATATTACATGTTTTATTAAAATAAAATAAAAAAAGTTTAAAATATATGAGATTTTAAAAAAGTAAAAAAGTAAAAAATTTAAAAATTTAAAAATTAAAAAAAATTAAATTAATTTTAAAATCACAAATGATAAATTTTAATAAATAAATAAATTAAAAAATATTATTAATAATTTTTAAATTTATATATATTTTAAAATCGTCAACAATGATTTTTAAATTTTTATACTTTTTTTCAAATCTTATATTTGAATATATATTATATTTCTTAATATTATATAAAAAAGGTAAAATAATTAAAGTTATTTTGAGAATTTTTCAAAAACGGATCCTGATTCTGTTAAAATTACGGAAAGTAGCGCACAAAACGAGGTTCCTCAGTAAGCAAGCAATAACTGGTGCAGAAATTTTATTACTGGAAGCCGTTCACGTTTTTTGTTTCTTTCTTTCTCTTTTTGGACCCTTTTTCTCATCTTCCTCAATGCTCACTGCTCCTCTCTGCCCAATCTCTGCAACAAGCTTTTAAGTCTATACTCAAAAATCATTACCCCATTCTTACGCTTCAGGTTTCCCTTCATGCCTTTGATTTCATCACTTTTACCAACCCTCATTCTCCTTTCTTTCCTTCTTTCCTTCTTTCCTTTGTTCTTCTCACCTTATCACACTGAAATCTACTCAATAACTCACCACCACCTATCCTCTTCCATTTCCTCAACGGTTCTGTCCCTTTCCTACCAACCTACCCCTCTCATTGCTGCATCACCATGATGCAACTTGGGTCCTCACTGTTGCACTGTTCACACTGTCTGAGACATAAAGTTGACATTTTGACCAAGGAACTCTTGTTTTTCCAGCTGTCAACTTTAAGGGTCATGAAATTTTAGTGTTCTTCATTGGTTTTGTTTTGCTTAAGCTTTTCTAAGTGGGTCTCGTGGAATGTTGTGTGTGAATGTGATATGAAGCTTTGAGAAAACAGTTATGGGGGGTGTCAAAATAGAGTCTTTTTCTATGAGTGCTTGGTGAGTGGATGTAATCTGGTAAAGGGGGCAATGAAAATGGGTGCTACTAACTCGAGAGCTGAAAAGAATGAAGCTTTGAGTCTGTGCAGGGAACGGAAGAGGTTCATCAAGGTGGCTATTGACTCCAGATACGCTCTTGCTGCTGCACATGTTTCTTACATTCAATCTCTTCGAAATGTTGGCATTGCTCTCCGCAGGTATGCTGAAGCTGAGGTGCTGATAGAATCATCTCTGTCAATTTCTGACAAAACCCCTTCTCAGACTAGTTACCCTTCTCCATCATCACCTTCACATGTTGCTGAGGTTGAGGTTTCAGAGTCACCCTTACACAATGAGAGTCCTCATTCTCCAACCGTGGCTACTCTTAGTTACATGAGATCAAGCGGTAGTGCTTCTGTCACAGTAAGGATTAATGCTTGTGGTAACACCAACTATTTGGATGATGAATCCTTGGCTGTTCAAATGCCTCCACCTCCACCTCCACCTCCTCCTCCTGAGTCAGGTGCATCCTGGGATTTCTTTGACCTTGGGGAGGATAGTGAGAGTTTCAGGTTTCTAGGGCATTGTAGTGAGTCCAGAGAGTGCAGAGGTGAAGAAAAAGCTGATCAATGGTTACATGTTGGTTCAGATGGACTTGACATGATGCAACCCAACTTGGGTGAGAAGTTTGATAGAAACTTCAGTTGTGCTGCAATGAGAAATGAGTGTGGCAATTCTTATGCACATTGCCTTGATCATTCCACTGTTTCAAGAGGAGTTGAAGGTTGCAAACAAATGGTTGATGGAGAAGTGAAACAGCTAGAGCTGCCAAGTGCTGCAGGGGACATAAACCAAGATGTAGCAGACAAGGGTGCTGGTGGGAGATCCAGTTCAAAGAGGGAGAAGAATATAGTGGGAAAAAATGTGTGCACAGAAAGAGAGGATCCTTCAGAGTTCATCACCCACAGAGCTAAAGATTTTCTCTCTAGCATAAAGGATATCGAGCATCGGTTTGTTCGAGCTTCTGAATCTGGTAGGGAGGTCTCGAGGCTTTTAGAAGCAAACAAAATCAAAGTGGGATATTCAGAGGCAAAAGGTAATTGCTTGTCATCAAATTCTTTTTTTCTGTATACTAAACTTCATGTGAATTTTGTATATTTTGGAACATACAGCTGGGTGGTCATTATTTTCAATGATGAGTAATTACTAATCTGCTTCAGAATTCTTCTGATAGGGAAGTCATCTGCAATGGCATTGGTCACGACTTTCCAGACTGTTTGTTGTAGTAGAAAGGCTTCACCTGTTTTCCAGGGTAAGTTGCATAAATTCTGTAAGTAGACACTGATTACAGACTTATTGAATCTGAATGAAAAGGCTTATTACGCTATAGAAGGTGTCTATATACTTCATAAACTCTTGTTAGATTTGCCATTTCTTAACAAATGAAATGAAAGTACACTAGACAAGACACAAGCTCAAAACTTAATCTGCTATCTATATATATAGCTGATTTTTATTTGGTCTTAATATTTTCTGAATGTTTCAAGATTGGTAATTATTTAGATTGAGGTAATCTGCTATCTAGATTGAGATTATTATTATCTGCAACAACATGCAGTTATCTGGATGGTCTCCTTCAATTCATTGGGTTTGAATATTTGTTTGGTTAATAAATAAATAACGGTTAGCTGTATGGTAAAGCTAACCTATGTTGGCATAACATTTGGACTTGTAACAAGTTTGAAAATAAAGAGGTATATCGTATTCTTTAATATTCTTTGAAGCAATTTGGTCTACCTGTAGGTCTTTAACTTTGGTACAAGGTGTCAATTATTGTCAAAGTTGTTTCTGCGATAGTTTTTATTCCAAGCTTTAACTATCAGGCTGCTGTTCGTTTGCCTGTTTTAACTTCGATTTCTGAAAGATGAGTATTTAGGATGGACTAACTTATCACCCTTGTGTGCAGAACCAGCCCAAAAAATTATTAGTTGGAAAAGGACAGCATCTTCTCGATCATCTTCATCTAGGAACCCTTTGACTGCAAAATCAAAGGAAGATGTTGATGATAGTGGAAGTGACTTTGTTGAAGAATTCGGCATGATTGCTGGAAGCCATTCATCCACCCTGGACAGATTGTATGCATGGGAACGAAAACTCTATGATGAAGTAAAGGTATTACAATAAACATAAAAAATGTAAAAAGAAAACAGTTTGTGTTAGAAAAAAATGAAGCATATAATTGAAACACGATTTGAATGGATAATCTGACATTGCATGACATCTAAATATGCTAATTGACATGATAATTGATAAACAATCAGGATCTATTGTTTTCGTTATTTCCAGTCCATGAGAAATGATCTTGGGATGCTGGCTACAAAATGTTTGGGTATAAGATGTATGATAGATTATGACTCTGTAGAGAAATCTTGGTTACCTAACGGCTCCTTATCGTGTTCATTTGTAGTGCTAATTTGCATTACATGGCCTATTTGCTGTCTTGTAGCTTCGTAAAAAGTTTCACTATTGACGTAGTATCAAGAAAGTTTTAATTGATTACTTACTGGGAGTCAGGGATAGGTAATGAGAATTTGGTCAAACTTTTTGCTTGACTTGTAGGAGCAAATTACTGCACATTCCATTTTGATTAACTAATAGCTTTTACCTCCAGTACTCTCTACTTCAATTCTAAATTTAGGAGTTTATGCAATTCAACAACAATCAAAGTAATGCCTCATAAGCTGTTTGTGAAGCATTGAACACATAAGTAACTATTCTTAAGAAAAAGAAAAACTTCAAAGCAAAGCAAAAAATATCCAGCTATAATATGCATTTGTCCTTTGCATGCAGGGTAGTTCTTTGATTATCTCTTTGTAGATTTGCTTGTTTTTTAAAGTATTATGCCTCCAAGTTGTGTTTTCAATTCCTGGTCCTTTTTGACCGCATATTGGTCTATCCTGTAGGGTAGTGAATCCATCAGGAAGGACTATGATCGAAACTGTCATAAGCTGAGGCATCAATTTGCAAAAGATCAAGGCACTCGTGTGATTGACAAGACCCGGTCAGTCGTGAAGGATCTGCATTCTCGGATAAGAGTGGCGATTTATTCTGTTGATTCAATATCTAAACGAATTGAGAGAATGAGGGATGAGGAGTTATACCCCCAGCTTTCGGAGCTAATGGAGGGGTAAGTGGGGGTTCTAGATTTTATATTTGTATTATTACAACCTTGAAGCTTTACTATCTGTTCACTACTCTTGACAACTATTTTCCTTGCCAATTGTGTGTTAGAGCTACAAGTACTATTGACTTAAGGAACTACTGTTATGCAGATTGAACAGGATGTGGAAGGCTATGCTTGAATGTCATCATGCACAGTACATCACCATCTCCTTGGCATATCATTCAAGGAGCTCAACAGGAACATTGCAAGGTGATGGGCGCAGAGAGATAATGAATCAGCTTCTTGAAGAAATTGAGTTCTTTGGTCTTAGTTTTGCTAACTGGATTAACAGCCACACCTCATATGTGGAAGCTCTCAATGCATGGCTGCAAAACTGCATACTGCAACCAAGAGAGCGTTCCAAAAGCAGAAGACCGTTCTCCCCTCGCCGAGTTCTGGCGCCACCTATATTTGTTCTTTGTCGTGATTGGTGTGCTGGGATCAAGTCTTTACCCTCTGAGGAACTAAGTCATGCTATCAAGAACTTTTTGTCAGATCTTCACTGTCTGATGGAGGAACAAAATGAGCAACTTCTCAAGAAACAGAATTCTGCTAATGCAAGCCCTGCAGAATCCGAGAGCAAAACTAACGAAGACGAGTCTGCAAATTTGAGCTGCATACATGCAAGTTTAACAAAGGTTCTTGATCGACTGACCAAATTTTCTGAGGCATCATTGAAGATGTATGAAGATATCAGGCAAAAAAGTGAAGCAGCTCGTAATGCATATCATAATTGCAGAACTATCAGGGCTGAAAAATTTTAACTCTTTAAGTACAAGCTTCTGCCTGTGCTTGCATGAGATTAATACATGAATGAAAAACACCCCTCAAAAAAGCAAAAAACCTATAAACACACATGGTTCTGGTCCTTGTTGGAAAAACAAATTTGTTAGATGAAAAATGTTGGAAGTGTCTTTAAGTGAGCTGAGCTTTCAGTTCATGATATGATAACTAGCAAAGACTGTTGTATGCTTTGATGATAGAGTTTGAGTTACTTCATTGGTGGTTGACAGTCGACCATTTTTATTTTCCTATATGTGAATCATTGAAGAAGTATCGGTTGGCATGAGCAAAGGTTAATTGATTAATTCTCATTACTTCTGATGTTCTGTTCTAATTTTAAAAACAAAATAACGAATTTTTACGTATATCGAAAATTCTTGCCATCAACGATAATTGTCACCATTTCATTAATTATTATATGCCGAACCCGATCAATTAGTTTGCAATCAGTGTCAAAAGATGCCTCTTCTTGGCTTCCAAAAATATGAGAGAAAAAAAAAAGGTGTATATACCTTGGTATTAACACTATTTTTCATTTTTCATCAATAAATAATCTATATTGAAGCGTCATTACACCATGTTTCCTTCGTCAGCTGACTCAGCTGCAACCACTAGTATACAAATCTAAACAAGCTAAAATCTAAAGATTTTCCTCAAAAACATTTCAATCCTGTTTGCGATCCTTTTATTAGAATCCCACATATTGTGTGTATTGCGAGTAAGCTTCTGATTGCATGGCAATAGGGGCACGGGTAACGTGATCCGGAAGATCAAATGCATCAACGAGTTCCCTTGCAATATTCCTCACTTGGAAACTTAGATACTCAGTGAGTTTGTGGATGGCCTGTGAAATAGAAAAACTTCAATATTCAACAATATTAAGGTTATAATGTAGAAAATGGGCTAGGTCCCAGTATGTTCATCCACATCTCAGATAACTTAGTACGACTACTGGTATCTTCCTATGGTTAAAAAGTGATTGCCGTAACCAAGATTTTCAACAGCCAACTCATGCTCATAATTAATATGCGTTTTGTTAAGAGAAAAAAAGCAGTTTATGAATACTAAATTATCATATATCTTAATCATATTTTCTTATATAAAATTTGAAACTTCTCATGGCTAAGAAAAGAAGCTAAAAAAAGAATTGTTCTTATATAGCCTTGCGTTTGTAGGGAGCCACATAGCAGTATCTACCTTTATCCAGATTTTTATGAAACCCATCAAAATTGTCCCTAGCAGACCCAGTATCAATCTAGGTCTAGGCTTTTACAAGTCATTCTTGGCTTTTTAGAATGGTCCCTCATAGTAGTTTTTAGCCCATTGGTAATTAAGGATTTTTACGATCTGTTAGGCAAAGTAAAAACAGCTAATTAAATTACGTGCGCATTAAATTTTTTAAAAAGAGACGTTTTCATACCTTAGCTTTGTTTGGAGCCACATAGTCAACATTTCGGTAGGTTCCAATGTCATTCCATATTCGATCCAGAGCATAAAGATCACAGACGAGCTTTAGAGCAGCCTGTGAGCTTGGATCAGGACAGCTGGTGCAGATATAGGTCAGGTTAAAATGGGTAAAAAAATCACAAAATTATGCAAGTAAAGGGAGTTACTCTACGGAAGTACAAGAAACTAGGAAGCACCTCTGCACTGCATCAATAAATTTAGCAAGGATGACTGACTCAATATGTGATTCAGCAAGTGTCAAGAGGTGATTTAAGCATCTGTTCCATGCACCAAAGTCCCCAAGAGACTTAGAATGCTTTCGAAGTCTAACAGCAACACTTTGAAGTAATCTAGATGTTCGGTACTGCAAAGTGAAAATCACATAAATTGTTTATTAAGTTAGTACATATTATATTTAGTCAGCAGTCAAGGAATCAAGATAAGTATCCATGGATTCTCACTCTGAAAGCATCCAACTGAAATTTAGGATCCCGTAAATGGTCTTCGCCTTCCCACCGAGCAGTTACTGGATTTGGCTGCGACAGATAAGTATTCATTGATTCTCTCAAGTAGTTCCATGTCACCGCAAAAGTTCCTCCTTTGAACTTTCCCTTGTATTGTTTCAAAAGATCAGCTGCAACCTTCATTTGTAAAGGAAAAAAATCCAAACATATTACCTAACTCACTTCCACTACAAGAATAACAAAACCAAACAAAAAAATAATGCGCAGCCTAATGCTGTGAAATTACAGTTGCCTAGTTATTATCTATGAGAAGCGATATAACTGGGCTTTAGACAAAAACCTGTTGAAGCAGAACTGTGTTGTCTCCTTCAAATGTCTGAAAAATATCATGGTCATTCCTCAAAATACCAAACCGATTTACAGCAGCATAACCATGGCCTCCACAAGCTTCCCTACAGATGCTGAGTGACTTTGCAGTATATGATGTTACATAAGCCTTTAGACCAGCGGAAAGAGCATGGACATCTGCAACTAATTCATCATCATGAGACTTTTTCATTTGAGAGTACTTCTCAACTAAATTTGTGGTCGCAAAATGAAAAGCATAAGTTGAAGCCAGCATTGGCATAAGCTTATGCTGTTGAGACTGGTAGTCAAGAATAGCGACTTCTGGTTCATTTGGAGGTCCAAATTGCTGACGAAGTAGAGAATATCTGATGGCAATAGTAGCAGCAACCTTCAGGACACTTACTGAAGAATATGCAAGGCCTACCCTACCACCAACAAGTTCCCCTAGTGTTGCTGCAAACCGCTTATTTATTGTAGGAAGGCTACTTGTGTACTTCCCATCACGGGAGACATCTCCAAAACGGTTTAGAAGATTGTCACGAGGAATTCTTACAGAGCGGAATTTCAATGCTCCATTGTCCACACCATTGAGGCCAACTTTATGACCACAATCATGTATCTCAATTCCAGGAAGTGGTTGATGGGTCTTCATATCCCTTATTGGAACTATGAAAGCATGAACACCCAAATCAGAAACTCCTTTTGTGTCATATGTGGGTAATTTCAACCTTGCAAAAACAGTGGCAAACTTGCCATGCACTGCAGCATTGCCAATCCACCATTTGATGGCACCATCATTTGGTGTATCAATGATAAATTCATCAGTGATTGGATCAAAGGTGGCAACAGTTTGCAGGCCCTGCACATTTGAACCTTCAAACACAAAAATGTAATCAGTTTAGAAATGTGACCTGGGGAAATGTTATGCATATCATGTTTGAATGGAAACACAATAGAGATAACAACCCCCAAAAATATTAATAAAAAAAATAAAATATCTCAACCAATAAAGGAAAGACACAGGCGCATTTGGTTGAAGACTTAAAATCACTTCACTGGCATTTGAACATGAAGGGAAACCACTGTTTGTTAGATTATTTCAAACAGGTATCAGCAACATCCTACATTTTCCTGTTTAGTCTGAAACGCTGCTTTATGATTTCATTTATTGTTCATAAATAATTAGAGCGTAGTATTATTTTTACTTTATTTGTAATTTTCAAAGATTTATATAAGAAACCGGCAAACATCCTATATTCACAGTGTCTTTCTGCAATAAACTACAAATCCTTGTTTTATGTTTTTGTACAAATCTTTGTAATCAAGGGAACACATTTACAACCATTTGATAAACTAAAAATTGTTTTCTGCACAAAATTGTTTTGTCATTGTCAAAGATTTGTGAAAGAAACCGGCAAAAATCCTATATTTGCGGTGTCTTTCTGCACAAGCTACAAACCTTGTTTTATGTTTCTGTACAAATCACTGTAATCAAGGCAGCACATTTCTAACCATTTGAAAAAACTAAAAATTGTTTTATCAAATCAATCAGGCTTCCCCGTGTACATTCTCTTACTATGAATTACAAGCATCAACCAGTATCCCCCCATAATTGCAAAATTTTACTTCATCAAATCTAATTAAGTGAAACTAACCAGTAAGATTAAAAAAAAATACACAGCATTCACAATTACAATAATCAATAATTTCAACATGTTATATAAGAAAGAAAGAAAGAAAAAAAATGCAATTACCATGGTGAAGCTCTGTCATAGCAAAACAACCGGGGTAGTCCAAGTTATCAATCCTGTCAAAGTACTTATCCATATGCTTCTCGGTCCCCAAATTGAGAACAGAACCACCCCATAGGCTGCACAGCACAAAAATAAAAAAAGTTGCAAAATTTAACATCACCGAAACCAAGTCTTAAGTAACAAACAAAAGGGTAAGTTTAGTTACGTACCTATACTGAACACCCATCTTGATCCCAAGTGACATGTCAACGCTACCAACAGCTTCCAAGATGGCGAAGTACTTAGCAGGGTCATGAAGAACGTAATGGAGGGGTCGAATCCCTGCGTCCCTAACGAGTCCCATAAGCTGCTTCATGCAGAGTTCACGGTGTTCATCTTTGGAGATCTCAACGGGGGTTTGAAGGTGAGGATTGGCGTTGAAGTAAGCGAAGACCTGTTCCTGTAACTCTCTGTGTTTGCCTCTCATGTAATTCGACAGAGATTTCGTGTCCACGCTCAGCTTCCCTCTACCGCACGTTGCCATCTCTAACTGCTTCGTCGCACCGCTGCTAACGGGGTTTAGGTGCAGTGTTAACCTCTGGATTCGCCTTTCTGCTTCCGACGTAGATTCATCGTTGGATTTCTGTTTTGGAATTACATTCAGAGTTTGCATTTTTTTTTTTTTTAATTTGTTTCGTGTTTTGTGGAATTGAAGAGAGAAGGAGCTTCAAATGGTGTTAAAATTCAACGATGGATGAATCATGTGATGTATTGTTAATGAAGAATAAGGGAGAGTTTGGTGTTGGCGATACGGCATGCCTAACGATCACGATTGATAACGTGGCTGTGAAGCGACAATCAGTCGTGGCGGCTGCGGATAGGATCGAAAATTGGCGGTTAGTAAAATATTCTGGCGCGCCTTCCAACGTGTTTTCATGGACTCTGTCTTTGGTTAATCAATCCACCATTTCAACGTTAGGACCCAACCAGACATCCAATGCAAGGGAAATCACACCAATGACTTTTTAACACCTCTATTTTAATATTTTTATATTATTAACTCAATTTTGTTAAACATTTTAAGATATCTAAATTGTATTCTCAAGTTAATAATTTTCATTTAATTTTTTATATTTTTAATAAATAATTAAAATATTAAAAAATTTATTGTCAAGATTTTTTTAACATATAACCACCATAAATTTGAGATTTTATGGTAATATTTGTTTTATTTTTTTTAAATAAGAAAATTAACAAAAAATAAACAATTATAAATAAAAATTTGAATTATTGTGTAAATTTTTATAGCTTTTAAAATTAATTTTAATATGAATAATTATTATTATTTGTAAATAATTGTACACTGCCATTTAATTTACCTCTTATTTTAGTTTTATGAAATTATATAATATCTTTTATTTATTTAAAAATTATATATTTTTTAATTATAAATTATGTATATCTTTCACTAGGAATAATCTTATTCAACTTAACATTATTACAAGCAGCAAAATTTCCCTGCTAGATATTTGATATAATTAGATTATCTAAACCTCAAACTTAAAATATAAAAATTATATTTTATATAATTTAAATAATTATATTATTATTAACGAAGATTATCTCAGTATAAAGTTTTAAGTTTGAGTTTTTATATAACAAAAAAAATTTAATAATAGACTCATTTATCACATTCATGCATGTGACCTAAATTATATCCTTATTAAACTGATGAGAAAAAATAATAATAATCATATTATTTTTTTTTGTCAACTATTTAAATAATCATATAAAATCATACTGTTCAGTTGTTGGGCTAGGTCCACTGGGCTAATAACTTGGGGCCATGTTTAGAATGCCGCGCCTTTTTTTCGAAAACGGTCTAATTCAAAGTTGAAAGCCCGCTTTTACCCGCCCCCGAATCAAGTGCTCTAGCTTTTGGCATGGTGTGTGAAATCACAGATTCAGTGAGTCCTCAAACCCCAACAATAGCAAAATTTGTTATTCGTTTTCGTGTCCCCTTCATCATTCATCCACTTCACAAGGTCAGTGTATCTTAACGGAGTTATCTTCTCTTAACTTTTCTACATATTCAATCGATTCGTTCCATATATAGGGTTACACATTTGAACCGGGAAACGGTAGGGTTTGAAATCAATAAATTCATGGAAAACCAAGATAAATTCACCGACGGGGTTTTTAAATCCCGTCCCGTGCTAATGGACGTCACGAATCGCCGCGCGAAAAGGCCGTTTTCTGGAATTTCCGGCGACGATGGGAAATTGCAGTTCACGAAGCAAGTGTGCTTAGGGCTTAACAATGTAGTCGAAAAGAAAAACCAATTACAGTTTGGAGCACATTCTCAGTCCAACGACAAGGGTAAGAAGATCTTGTTACAACCAAATGAGAAACAGAAACGCCCTTGTTTCAATGTGCCTTTTTGCGGTGATACTTTGCTCTCGTCTCAGAACTGCGAAAACGAGGAGCAGAATCCGTTGGGCCCGTTGGGCGTTGAAAAATCTGCATCTGATCGTGCCATTGAAAGTGGTGATAACAATTTGGAATCAGCGGAAAGGCCAACAATTCCTTCCTTTTTTGATCCTAAATTTGTAGGATTGGAACGGTGTTCGGAACTCAAAGGCGATGGTAATGCACATTCAGTTACCGATAGTGGGGACTTTATCAAATCTTGCACTTGTTCCTTTTGCTCCAAAGGTGGTTAAAATTTCTAAGCATGCTTTAAAATGTTGCATTTTTTTATGGAAATAATAAAATGGTTGTTGCATGTGTATCACTAGCTGCTTATATATGGACGGATCTCCATTACCAGGATGTCAAGGGTAGATCAAGTGGTAAGTTGTTTGTAGAAATCGTTTTGGGCACTTTGCATTGCTACATTCAGTTATCATAATCGTCTTTTACCGTCACTTAACCTAATCTTTTGCTAGCTCTGAAGAAGATTCAGAAAGAAGCACGCGCCATCATTCATAAATTTTCTGGTTTAAAGGATACTGTGGTGCTTGACCAGCACCCGGGTGCCGGGTCGTCCGAGTTAGAATCGTCTCTTATGCATCAGTGGAAGTCTCTCTATGTTCATATGGAGAATATATATGCTCAAGAAATCAGCCAGCTTGTAAGTTTCAGTGCTATCACTTGGGCTTAGTATTTCAATCCTATTGCAAATGTCAACTTTCATTGCCATTTACTTTCTCGAGAGTGCACAATCCTCGGGAATTCACTTTGCTACAGGAAAGAAGTGAACTTGAATCTACATTTTTGGCTATCCCTGTAGCCTTTGTTGCATATGGAGGCTAGCTTCTATACTTAATGTTTTTGGCATAAGTTTATTTAGGACTTGTTTCGAGTGGTTGCAGGTTCACTTTTGGTTTTTAAATACAAATTCAAAACAAAATATGTTCAATTAAAATAAAAATAAATTGATTTTTAACTTGATTTCAAAACAACAGTCGATATTGCTTTCACCATTATTACCATTGTCATTACTAACACCATCCTTGTTGTCACTATTTTCATCATCACAAGTTCATCACCATAATCGTTGATGCCTCTCCTTGTTTAAGCTTGAATTAAGAAGTAATTTTTGTGGTTTAAGATCTGTATTAAAATTTTAAAACTAAAACTACAAAATTTGAAATTAAAAATTGTAAAATTGAAAATTGGTTTTAGTTTTTAAAATTTTAAAAACTTAACTAATAGTTATACCAAACAATGCCTTAGTTATTGTTATGCTATGTTGTGAACGTTGATTTCTCTGATCTGCATCCTGCATCCATGCCTTAATTTTCTTCCCAAGCCTTGAATGATTTCATTCTTCTCTCAGGATTCAAGCTTTGAAACACTAAAAGATTTGAGAGAGAGCTGCAAGAATGATCTTGAGTTGAATGACAATAGCCATCATGACAGTCATTAGTCTTATAGTGCGTTTTTAGATTGTAAGATTGCTTTGCACATCAGTTCATTAGTTTCAAGCTTTAATAAATATGCATACGCTCAACTGTGATTTACCTTCATGTTTGGGGAATTTGGTGTCTGTAGAGTACTTGCAAGTTTATGTGTACATTTGTCACACCAGCTGTTTCCATCTATTCTCGTATCATTTGAATCAACCTGCTTTGGAGGATCGCTGTTATGCGTTTTTTGGGATGTCCCTGATGGAACTGAAAGATGATTATGGTGCTATCTATTCAAAGTTAGTTGGCTAATGTTTTTGAATCCCAAGATACCTTTCAATGAATGTTTGGCAACAATGATTCAAGACTCTTAAATGATATGCCACTACGTAGCATGAACAAGAGGTGTGTTGGGTATGTGAAATTGTCTTGGACATCGTCTTAAACAGTTTCGACTTTCAATCAAATGATACTATTGATAGCACCTAATGGAGTACTCTGCGGTTAAAGATGGTCAGCCTTCGGCACTTCCCATTTCATGAACTAGAAGACCTGTTGTCACGGGAAATTCTTACTTTTGGGACATGGATTCTTTTTTTCGTTTTGAAAGTCATGCACTTGATTATACTGTATCTTATCTTTAATGTTAAATGTAATCAGTGGATTACGACTTCGTTTGGTTAATTTGAAATAGAATTCTCACGCTTTTCAATGCACAAAACTATGTTAGCGTCACGTTTTTCCAAAGCAAAATTTGTCAAGATAGAGAAAGCTTGGTGCTTACTGTTTGGATCTATAGGAAGAGACGGTGGTTTTGAAGCCGAGAAATCAATGTCAACAGTTGAAAAATGTATTTTGCGACAAAAAATGCCCAGCACGAGTGATGCATTCATATAGATTAGGAGTACAGCCGAGGAGTTGCCATTGCTAGAGGTGAAAAAGGAGTAATCAGTTGTGTGAATTTGCTCATTTCTTTGAACTCAGCTAGCATATTCTTTATTCTCCCTCAGCGTGGCTGGTCCTATTTGGCAGAATATTGTTGGTGTCAATCTATGAGATTTTTTTATTTTTTTATTTTTTGCTATTACAATGAGATTTTGATTTTGGGTGTTTTGAAATATTTTATATAATTTATCTTTTATAAGTTATTTTTAGTTATTTTAATAATTTTCTTATAACTTATTAAAATAAGTTATTGTCTTATTTTAATAAATTTTATCATTAAATTTATAACAAAAGTAATCATTTTATAAATAATTGTTAAATAAGTACTTGTTTAGTCAAATATTAAATAAATAGATATTCAAAGTACCCTTTGTTCTTCAGGATTTAACCTTTTCATTGTATGAAAATATGGAATAGATCGGGAGGTGCATTTAAAAAAATTTCTTAAAGTAGTTAAATATATTAAAAAATTAATTAAATTGTATAAAATAATAAATACAATGTCATGTTATGAGAAAAATATGAATTAATATTGTATAAAATAATTTTTTTAAAACGCTGTGGAGTTATTTAGATGGAGCTATCCTATAAATCAGTATTGTTAAGAAAACATAATTTAAAAAATAACAAATGTTATAATATGAATCTTTTATATTACTCAAGTGATGAAGTTAGGAATTCATGACTATTATATGTATGTAGGGTTTGAATCCTTCAACATAGAAACTTCTTCCGATTATTAAAAAAATATAAAAATAATTTTTCAATAACACATTGTAACACGTAAGATTCATTCAAATTGGTATAGTATTTTGTATTTATTGTCATTTAATTATTTTCCTATCCAAACATTTTCACTACTTTTTGAACAATTGTCATTTATAATTATCTAAAACGTACATTGCTATTCTTTAATGGGAGTTATAAACTGATAAGAACAATTTGTCCAAATGATTCTACAACGTTATCTAAACCGCACATGCCCGCACACGTCTTAGAAACATGCCTCATAATTGAATTAGCACGATGTCAAGAAAAATATAAAATTAATGCATAACCAATGTTTTACTGGTTAACACATTGTATATTCAATGCCTTATTATAGGTGGAGATGTGACTCTCTACCTCTTCCCCCACCAAGGC